TCGGCGCGCGGCCTCGTGATTCCGCGCACTCACTCACACTTACGCTAACGCTCGCGCGCTCGGGCGCGAGGGCTTTGCGGCGGACTCGCGACGACGATCTCCGGGTGGCTCGACACGCGAATCGCGACACTCCCGATCGCTCACGGCAGATCCTATGAGAATCCTCGCACTTGGGGACGGGCGCCGTTACACCAAACCAAAGAGTACTATGCAGTACGCGTCGCCGGAGGGGCGCACGCGACGAGACTCTGACACGAAAAATGGCGTTCCCGTCCGCAGAGTGCGAACAAGATTCTCACTCAGCCCGTGGCTTTACACGAAAAAGAGGGTCACCTCACCGGCACGGTCTCCAACGCGGCTTCCTCGGCAGCAGGTCCGACAGCTCGCTCGTTCCCCCTCGCTCTCGCCAACACACTCTCTCGCTCTCTTTCTCTCGCTATCTCGACCGCTCCGCGGGATCGCACGCTCGCCTCGGTCGTTCGCACGCAAAAGCGGCGTCGATCGTGCTCAATCGCGGATCGATGCCTGCACCCCCCGCCCGCGCGAGGTCGCCCCACATCCGGGACTTGGCGGCGTGGACTCAGCTGGGCGCGTCCTTCGCCCTTGAATTCCGGGGCTACCTCGCCCCGGCAGCTCTCGGTGACGTCCCCGGGCCCTGGGGAAATCGCCGGCCGTATTGCCCTTCGCGGGCCTCAGCCACAGCGCCCGCCGTCCCGGTCGCGCCCCTGGCGGCTCGCGTATCCTTGCGCGTGTTCGCGCGCTCGATCACCTGCTCGCCGCGTGCCCGGTGCGTGTCCCCTTTGCTCCGGCGCCAGTTCGCCCGCACTCCAACTTCTTGCTGCTTTCGTTGTCCTTGAGCCTCTTCGGCCCATGCTCCGTGGGTCCGGTGAGGTGCCGCGGTACATGTAAGAGGTTCCAACAAAATCAATAAACGATACGCGATTTAAATTCGGGCCTCCCGGAGATCTCGGTCTCGCTCTTACGACGCGGCTGTCGGTCCGGCAAAAGGGGCGCGAACCCGCGCCTTGTGACGGCGGCGGGACGCTGCCTCGCCGCAGCGGACTGCGGCGTCACAATATATATTGTTACGCCCGTGTCTACGTCCGCGTCGTTCGATGTACCAGCGAGCCGGTCCAGCTGTCGGATGTTTCCCTAACGACGCGTTGTCATCTGTCAAACGGATGACATATTAGACTTGGAGACGAGCCGTCGACCCGTTCGGACGTGCTGAACTCTGATCTATCTTTTCGCCACGTTCTCTGTTCTTACAATTACAATAAAGCGTATTCCTTGTGTTTCTAATTGGTGTTCCTTCTTATTTCTCCGCGACCTACCGGTGCGCGTGCGCGAACGCGGGTGCGGAAGTGCGAACGTTACGCGGGCGAGTGCGTGATCGCGAGATACATCGCCCCG